TCGAAGAGGGGCTCAATGGTCGTGAGTTGAGGCACGCCTCAATCCGACAAAAAGGGTATTTAACTCTTCGAATGTATACTTATGAACCGATGCAATCTTTTTGAAGTGGGTTTTAAAGCTCTTCACCCCCGCCTCCCATAAGCCGCCCATATGAGGAGCCGCGGCGGGTATGAAATGCCATGTGAGCATTTGATAGTTGTATTTTGAAACTGTTTTTTCACGCGAATCTGCTAAAAATGACTTAAATTCAGATCTTAGAGATCGTGAAGCTCCGACGAAGTTTGTCCCATTGTCGGAATATATGTTTTTCGGGCATCCTCTTCTGGCTACAAACCTGGCAAATGCGGCTAAAAATGATGGAGTGCTGAGGTCACTAGTTGCTTCCAAATGGATCGCTTTTGTCGAAAAACAGACAAACAGACAAACGTATCCTTTGGACATTCGACAACCTCGGCCGCTATAACTCTTGACGTCAAAGGGTCCTGAAAAATCTACACCTTTATTCGTAAACGCGCGCGAAAATGTGGTTCTCTCCTGAGGCAGAATTCCCATAAGTTGGGTTTGCGTACGTTTTTTGTATATCGTACAGACTTTGCAATTATGGATTGTGGATTTGATCAGATTTTTAACTCTGGGGATCCAATACTGAGTTCGGATAAGGCGAAGCATGAGTTGATTTTCCCCATGCAAAGAGACTTGGTGAATAAAAGACACTATTAGACGGGACAACCTGCAGTTATAAGGAATAATTATTGGATGCCGCTCGTTATACTCTAAGTCTTGAGACGCTCCAAGATGCCCACCAGCCATAATAATGCCATCTTTATCCATGAACGGATTAAGCGGTAGGAGTTCACTCTTGGAGTCGATGGAGTTGCCTGCTTTCAATTTCCCGTATTCTTCACTGTAATAGTTCTGTTGATAGATTCTCATCAAGCGTTGTGTCGTTGCTTTAATTTCATCGGATGAAATTAAGCGTGACTTTTCTTGAAATGAAGTTTTCGTATTTCGATGAGTTCTTTGAGAGAATCTCATAACATATGATAATACTCTCAAAGCTCTCGGAAAATCTGAAAAACGGTCAAGAATATCGGTATAATTTACTTTGGTTGTATAAACGTGCGTTCTTTTTTCCTCAGCTACTGTGCTGTAGTCTGTTTCCTGTGTGGGCCATTTAGGATTATCTTCTTGTAACCAAGAAGGTCTCTGCCACCACAGCGAATTGTTGACCAATTCAAATGCTGGAAGTCCTCTGCTCGCTAAGTCTGCTGGATTTGATGCCGATTCCACATGCAGCCAATTCCTGTTTCCGACTTTCTCTACAATTTTTGTGATTCTATGGGCAACGAAAGTTGACCATGAACACGGAGGCTTGCGAATCCAAGCGAGAACAATTGTGGAATCGGTCCACAGATGTATGTTGATATGCCCTAAGTTGAGATTGTTGATTATTGAATCAACTATTTCCGCCAATAGTACCGCTCCGCAAAGTTCCAGTCGGGGTAGCGATATGGTTTTAACAGGAGCAACTCTGGTTTTTGCCAAAAGCAGGTTAATAAAAACTTTGCTATCTCTTTTGACACGCATATACACAGAGGCGGCATATGCTTTCTCCGACGCGTCACAGAATCCGTGTATTTGTATTTCATCCGTTGGAGAAAAGTATACCCATCGCGGTATACGAATATTATCAATCTCGTTATAATGTTGGGTGAAATTCTGCCATCGGTCTAGAGTGGTCGAAGACACCGTCTCATCCCAATCTGTGCCTTCTAGCCAAATATTTTGCATAAGGATTTTGGCTACGATTATGATAGGCGCAAGCCACCCCAGCGGATCGAAGAATTTAGCAATGGCAGATAGTATCGCTCTTTTCGTAACAGTATAGCTTTTCTCCAATGGCCTTGCTATAAAATAGAAAAGATCCGTATGGGCATTCCATCTTATTCCAAGAGCCTTGACTGCGCTGGTATCTTCAAATGCCAAAAAATCTTCACTAAGTAGATCTGCTTTTGGTATGCCATTAAGTATTTGCTCGCTATTGGCTGTCCACTTTCGAAGTGGAAAACCGGCGGATTGCAACACTTCCGATATCTCATCTCTGGCTTTTATTGCTGAATCGATAGTGTGTCCACCAGATAATACATCGTCGACATACATGCATTTTCGCAGTATGTTAGATGCTATTGGATGGGAGCTTTGCACATCGTCAACTAATTGTAGAAGTGTCCTTATAGCCAGATAAGGAGCACAGTTGATGCCGAACGTGACAGTCTTTAATTCGTACAGACTGATCGGGTCGTTCGGGTTAGTGCGAAAAATTATCCTCTGATACTTAGTATGGTTGTTATGTACCAGAATTTGCCTATACATCTTCTCGATGTCACTGTTGAACACATATCTGTATANGAAGTACTGGTCCTGGGAAAAGTACGTCATTTAGGCTGTTGCCATTCGCCGTTGGGCTTGAGGCATTGAACACCACGCGTACTTTTGTTGAAGTACTTTCTGCCTTTATAACAGCGTGGTGCGGCAGAAAATAATTATCAGACGAGTCTGCGGGTCTGGGATTTGTTATTCTCGACATATACCCAAGCGTTTCATATTCCGCTAGAACCCTATTGTATTCCATTTGCAGG